TAAATATTTTTTAAAACTTAGTTCGGAGTTCGTATGTAAAACTGGACTAATTAAACCATAGATGGGAAGAGAATAGGTGGATGCAAACTTTTCCGAGGGGTCTATGCACATAAGTGAATATACCGGAAACAACTGGAATTGGAACACCGTTCTGCGATTAACCATCCCGAGACATTGTCCATTACACCATCCGCACATCCAAATATACAGCACCTCGTATTCCCAAGAAGTCCCCTATTTTAGGTTATTCAGAGTCAGAGAAAGCACTAAAATTATCCAATCAAATACAAAAATATTTGATACTAATAAAGATTGTAATGGTTTTAAATGACCCATATAACTGTTGATATGCCGATAAGCCAAACAAATAAATAATAATTATGTAATGATATTGAATAATATAAGGTATATTGAGTGACGTTTTTCTTCATTATAAGCCTTTATTATTTGATAACTCTTGATAGGCAAGTTTAGAATTTTTTTTTTTTTTTTGCAAAAGTAATAAAAGTCTGATTATGGAATTCAATAAGAGAATCAAGCAAGAATAATTTACAAATTTACACATCCATTTTATTTCTCTTTCTTATATCATTCTGAACATAAATATCTCAGTCTATATCTCTGAGAAAAGGTACTATAATTGTTTACATTATTCGGACTGTCAACCTCATCTTCATTGCCATATTCACAATGTTTCGGCCTCTATATCTCTGAGATGAGGCATTATGATTACTTGCATTATTTACATTATTCCAACTGTTATCCTCATATTGCCATATACACAATATTATATTATTCTTCAATATGTATCTATTTCTCTGAAATGAGGTATTGTGATTACTTACATTATTCGGACTGTTATCCTCATCTTCATTGCCATATTCACAACATTTCGGCCTCTATAACTCTGAAATGAGGTATTGTGATTACTTGCATTATTTACATTATTCGGACTGTTATCCTCATCTTCATTGCCATATTCACAACATTTCGGCCTCTATAACTCTGAGATGAGGTATTATGATTACTTGCATTATTTACATTATTCGGACTGTTATCCTCATCTTCATTGCCATATTCACAACGTTTCGACAGTTGTAGGCTCCTTCATGTGATTGGAATTTCGAACTGAACTTTTTATTTTGTCCACCGGGATAGATTGTTCTAGTTCCACGTGCCATGCCTCTTCCGTATGTCTCAGTTATTTCCCTTTAACCCAACTCTCCAAGCTGTGGCCTGGTATTGAACTCACAACTATTTGGGTCTAGTCACTGGATCTAATCAGCGTCTTTATCGGCTGGGTCATGTGTCCTTTAGGGAAAAAAAACTAGGAACTTTAAATCCTCTTTTCCTTAACTATCATGTGAATGACACGCGTTGGCACTCATGAAAGAAAGAAACAATTTGTTATCTCTGCTAAATTAACTTTCATCGCTAAAACAATAACTTATTAACTAGTCTTAGCAAATCATTTTGAGTACTTCGACGTGGTGTAATGATGAGCAAGCTTGTCTCGCTAGATTAATTACGACTGAATAGTGAGTTCGATTCTCACTCTGTGCCAAATTGTTGTGGGGTTTTTTTATGCGTAGCGTAGCTTAGATGTGACACAAAGCTTTGGATCACATCTAAGCTACGCTACGCATCCGAAATCCGAAGGCACATTGACATAGCGAAAGATGCTTTCCAAAGGCGAAACATTGTATTAAGTAACAAGAAATCTTCATTAGAATTAAACATGGTAAATTTCTAAAAATTTTCCCAAATCGTCATAATTCTGTGTAAATGTACATGGTGAACTGGAATTAACAATTAAATTATGAAGAAACTTACCGTTTTCGAGTTATCGACAATAAAAGTTCGAACTCAGTCGCGTTCAGCTGTCGGCCATTACTGGCCTTGTATGACTACATTCAACGCGGAACATTTAGCGCGCGGAGGTTTAATTAAGGGCCTTTTTACTGCGCTTAACTGAACTTACTCGTTTAAAATTACTCCGCATTTAAGTTACGTCGTAAAGAACACCAGCTCATCAAGTAAACATTTTGTTCGCATGTAACTTTGCCTTAATCTTTTCAAAAAGTCGTACCCACTTTCAGTTTTATCGATTTTCCTGCCAAACTCGGGTGGGGGGAGGTGGTCTGGAAATTAAAAAGTTGTTCTTAATTATATTTGCAATGTGTGTGTGCAATTTCATCGAAATCGGTCGAGAAATATAGCCGTGCATAAATAGCATACACACACAAAGACATATTTTCTTTTATAGATATAGTAAAGAAAAGGAATCGGTGGAAAGCCGCGATTGTCTACGTTCAGCAGAGACATGGTATTAAAAAAAACTAAAACTAAAGATACTAAAGAAAAGGAAGCTGTGGTGAGTCATGACTGATTATGTCCTGAAGTAATAATGCATTAAAATAATGCACATTCTAAGTAACATGTCAACACTTCTCTGTGTGCAAGAACAATTTTACCACTTTCCCTTGGTTGAGGCTTTCTTAGTCAGTAACAGAACACACAACGCAAATGAAAAGCTCAGCTGTATTAAAACGGTCGAAATTAGTTTGGCCAACTGGTGCCAGTGACTCGGAGATTCATTACAGCCATTGGCACATGTCAGCGGGTTGAGAATGTAATCGACACCAAAGTTTGCCAACAGGAATGAAATAGCTTCTACATATGGATTAAAAATAAGCTACAGACTTATCAGTTAATACCCTGAAGCCATATCATTATTGGTATATCACGGAACTGATGAGTATTAAAGAAAGAAATCTGTGGCTGAACTTAAAGAGAAATCATTTCAAGATCGAAATACCCTTATAAAGATCACAGAGAATCAGGCAGACGAATAGCTAGCTAAGATAAATATGGCGGTGTGTATAATAAAGTTCTAAAGAATTGTGGTTATATGTGAGCTGAAATTAAGTTTAGAAGATATGAAGATAGAGGTCAAAAGAAAAGAAATAGAAATAGGAAGATCATTTAGCGCCACCGACATTTAATCAATTAGTACTAAGTTAAACCATAACTTCTTCCAATTCATTAATAAACATTTTCCTAAAAGTAACTCTCTTAGTAAAATATTTAACAGGAACACATTAAAACGAAGTTATGACTCTACCAATAAACTTAGGAAGGTCATAAAGTTACACAATAATACAATTCTAAACCAATTTAATAATCGGGATCATAATACAAGTTCCAAGGAAAATATTGTTAATCATACTGACCAGTGTAATTGTAGGAATCCAACCCAACCCAACTCAACACACGCCTACCCAATTTAAATAATTCGCCCTACCTGTTACCATGGAAATTTTGATTTCAATTATTAAAACACGTAAATTTCAGAAATAATTATTCAAAAAAAAATTTCGCTTGAATATGGAACAGAGCTTACTTTAACTCAATTTAATTCAAATAATTATATTGAAGTTTTCGGCTCTTGTTTGGAAACATGAGACCTCTTATGTCGCGAGTTGGAATCATATTTTTAAATAAATAATTATATTTATGCTCTACTTTTGTATCGAGCACTATTTTTTAAAAATAATAACTAAAATACTAAGAAACTTTGGATTATTTACCTAACCAGTTCTTTCCTATTTTCTATATATTTTCACACACACACACACACACACACACACATATATATATATATATATATATATATATATATATATATATATATATATATATATGGTCTACCGCCGCTGTTCGTCTCGAGGTTCTCGACAAAATCCATAGACGTATATGCAATGTGGTAGGTCCTGACCTGGCATCTCGACTCCAGTCACTTTCTCAATCTCGAGGTTCTTGACAAATTCCAAAGACTAAGATGCAACTTTGTAGGTCATGTTCTGGCATCTCGACTCGTCACTTTCTCACCGACATAATGTGGCTTTTCTATAAATATTTTCATGTCATCTGCCCTGACGAGCTATTTTCACTGGTGCTTCGACTGAATGAATTTAAGCGTGCTACTAGGTTAACATCTCGGTCTCACCCTTTTACTCTCGAAACAGTTAAATGTAACCGCCTCCTCTACTCTAACAGCTTCTTTTCTCGCACTTCCCGACAGTAGAACTCCTTTCCTCTTACTCGATTACCTGAAAACTATAATTTTCAAATATTCAAATGTAATGTCAATCAACATCTTCCAATGCCTTTATCTTGATCCTCACCCTTTCTTTTTATCATTTCCCCGAACACCTTTTTATACTCTTACTTTTCACCTTTTTATTTTAATCTAGCTAAGTCTCTAGCCACTCTCTTAATCAGAAAAAGCCTGGTTCATGGACCGGTTTAGTCGGCGATAACCCGAATAACACTCGTCGAGTGAGACATGATAGAATAACAACAAACGAAAGCTGACATGTCGTAAAAACAATTAACTTAATCTAACCTTCAGAGCGTGAGAAATCTACCGTAAGGAAAGGCGATTCTCTGTGTCGGGCCAAAAGCTTTTTCTCGTCTGAGATCATCCTTCAAAGCTAAAAATATCTACCATTCGTCCTTGCATAAATAATGATTTCACTGTTGCCATATATGGTCTGCTTTAATCTTGAGGTTCTTTACAAATTCCAAATACGGATATGCAATTTGATCAATTCTGATTTGGGGTTTCGACTTTCTCACCGACGTAATGTGGCTTCCCTCTGTCTTTTCTATAAATATTTTCATGTCATATGCCCTGAATGCATGAATTTAAGCGTGCTACAAGGTTGACATCTCGATCCCATACGTTTACTGTCGAAAGAGTTAAATGTAACCACCTCTTCTACTCGCACATCCCGACAGTGGAACTCCATTCCACTTACTTGCTTCCCTGATAACTATAAGCATGAAAAATTTAAATGTAATGTCAATCAACATCTTCCGTTGCCTTGATCCAAGTTCTTCTCTTTAGCCACCTCTGATCTTCTTTTTATTCTCCTCTGTTCTTCTTTTTAGCCTCCTCTGTTCTTCTCTTTAGCCACCTCCGATCTTCTTTTTAGCCTCCTCTGTTCTTCTTTTTAGCCTCCTCTGTTCTTCTCTTTAGCCACCTCCGATCTTCTTTTTATTCTCCTCTGTTCTTCTTTTTAGCCTCCTCTGTTCTTCTCTTTAGCCACCTCCGATCTTCTTTTTAGCCTCCTCTGTTTTTCTTTTTAGCCTCCTCTGTTCTTCTCTTTAGCCACCTCCGATCTTCTTTTTAGCCTCCTCTGTTATTCTTTTTAGCCTCCTCTGTTCTTCTCTTTAGCCACCTCCGATCTTCGTTTTAGCCTCCTCTGTTATTCTTTTTAGCCTCCTCTGTTCTTCTCTTTAGCCACCTCCGATCTTCTTTTTATTCTCCTCTGTTCTTCTATTTAACCTCCTCTGTTCTTCTCTTTAGCCACCTCCGATCTTCTTTTTATTCTCCTCTGTTCTTCTTTTTAGCCTCCTCTGTTCTTCTCTTTAGCCACCTCCGATCTTCTTTTTAGCCTCCTCTGTTCTTCTTTTTAGCCTCCTCTGTTCTTCTCTTTAGCCACCTCCGATCTTTTTAGCCTCCTCTGTTCTTCTCTTTAGCCACCTCCGATCTTCTTTTTAGCCTCCTCTGTTCTTCTCTTTAGCCCCTCCGATCTTCTTTTTAGCCTCCTCTGTTCTTCTCTTTAGCCACCTCCGATCTTCTTTTTATTCTCCTCTGTTCTTCTTTTTAGCCTCCTCTGTTCTTCTCTTTAGACACCTCCGATCTTCTTTTTATTCTCCTCTGTTCTTCTTTTTAGCCTCCTCTGTTCTTCTCTTTAGCCACCTCCGATCTTCTTTTTATTCTCCTCTGTTCTTCTTTTTAGCCTCCTCTGTTCTTCTCTTTAGCCACCTCCGATCTTCTTTTTATTCTCCTCTGTTCTTCTTTTTAGCCTCCTCTGTTCTTCTCTTTAGACACCTCCGATCTTCTTTTTAGCCTCCTCTGTTCTTCTTTTTAGCCTCCTCTGTTCTTCTCTTTAGCCACCTCCGATCTTCTTTTTAGCCTCCTCTGTTCTTCTTTTTAGCCTCCTCTGTTCTTCTCTTTAGCCACCTCCGATCTTTTTAGCCTCCTCTGTTCTTCTCTTTAGCCACCTCCGATCTTCTTTTTAGCCTCCTCTGTTCTTCTTTTTAGCCTCCTCTGTTCTTCTCTTTAGCCACCTCCGATCTTCTTTTTAGCCTCCTCTGTTCTTCCTTTTATCCTCCTCTATCCTTCTTTAGATCCTCCGCCATTCTTCTTTTTATCCTCCAGCGTTCTTCTTTTTATCTTGAGTCAAACATGCGCCGATAAAATTTCTAATTTTATAAAACAATGTTTCAATGCCGTAATTCTCCAGGGCATTTTTTCAACTAGTAGGGCTTTCCCCTCGTAATATAAGGATGTCTTGCCTGTCAATCAACAAAGTTTAGTTATATCTCTATCTATAAAAGGCAGGATGTGTGTGTGTGTGTGTGTGTGTGTGTGTGTGTGTGTGTGTGTGTGTGTGTAACGAATGCACGGCCGCAATTTTCGACGGATTTGCACCAAAATTTACATGCACATGCTCCGAGTTAGGGGAAGGCCAAGATTGACTTTGCATTTCCCAACTCCCATCGATAGTGAAAATAATTAATTTTTCCATGCTTCTACGGCAGTTTTCATGTAGTTTGCAGCCATTTTGTACTGGCCAGAGTGAGAGCCTATAGCTGGCTGCCACGAATAGGCAGGAATATTTTATTGGCCAGCGTGAGAGCCAACAGCTGACTGACACGAATGTCAACTAGCATGTTAGCATACAAAAAATATCGATAGCTGCATTCGTCACAAGTGGGAAAAATTTAAATCTGCATGGCCCTAGAAAAACTGAAATTTTCTGAATGAGGTTCTAGTAGTAGGAGGTTCTTTGCATGGGGGTGGATTTGAAGGAGATGTTGACCTGTCAACATCTCCTTCAAATCCACCCCATGCAAAGAACCTCCTACTACTAGAACCTCATTCTGCTATCCATCGAGCTAAGGGACTGAGAAACTGAAAAATTAAGTGTTTGAATGCCTGCAAGGTCAGTAGTAGCATTCTTAAGCCACTTGGTATGATGGGCCTGAAAATCGCCAAACACTACTATGTAAGCAAACGGATGGAGAGAGAAGGTCTTGTCTATGCTGTCAGAAATGCTATATATAATTCCACAGTCTTGAGAGGAAGGAGAGCGATAAAGGAAGAAGAGATAGCTTACAGCATTGAGAAGAGATAGCCGGAGACACATAAACGAATAGTCTGGCGATTCAAAAGACAACTCTCTAGCCAGAGGTAGATGGTCCTTGACGTGGACACCAAGGTCATGCATGTGGGTCTGAGAGTCTTTTCTAAGGAAAGGAAGATAGCCGGGGATCGAGAGATCAGAGGAGGGGATAGACGAGTCGAGGTTGGTCTCACACAGAGCCAGTATATCCGGGCGGTTTGCAGTGAGGAAAGATTCCACACTGCAGGAAAATATTCATGTAAATGTTTTGCATATAATAAACAGTATTAACAACATTTACTGGTCTGAATGGGAGAGAATTTCATAGAAACTATGTGACCTGCGGGATGAATTGATCCTGCTTCCTACATGGAACAGTCATATAGCGCCTCATGCTATAAACATAATCCACTTGGATTATATATCAACGGATTTTTAACTTTACTATGTATATATATATATATATATATATATATATATACATAGTAAAGTTAAAAATATATATATATGTGTGTGTGAGTGTGTGTGTGTATATATATATATATATGTGAGTGTGTATATATATATATATATATATATATATATATATATATAATGTACTGAGGAAGCAGAGAATTAGTCAAATATGTTACTTAAAAATTTGTAGCTATGAAAATAACGTATAAACAATAAATATATTAAAATAATTGTCGGACTTTCATAATATACACACATAGATATATATATATATATATATATATATATAGAGAGAGAGAGAGAGAGAGAGAGAGAGAGATACAGATATATGCAATTATAAACAGTTTGATTATTGCAAGGGCGTGAAACCCAGTGTTGCAAACTCACATCCATAAAACTGTGTAAATATATATATATATATATATATATATATATATATATATATATATATATATATATATATATATATATATATATATATATATATATATATATATATATATATATATATATATATATATATATATATATATAAATAAAGAACAGTAAGATACAACAATAGTTAATAAAATGAACTCGCTAGCGCCCTTGTCTGAATGATTGGATTTCTCTGTATCCTTGGAAACAGTAAATTATGAATTTATATGTGCGTTTAAAACTCAGTAAATTTAAAAATAAGTTATTCCAAAATTCGCCTGAAGATGACACAGAACTAATGCTTTTAATTTAATTATATAATTAAATTTGAAGTTTTTAGCTTCAGTTTTTGAAACATGATTATTACTGTGTAGCGAAAAAAACACATTTCAGTTAATTAATAATATATATATATATGTGTGTGTGTGTGTGTGTGTGTGTGTATGTATATATGTGTATGAATATATACATATGACTTGGGAAATATATTTTACTTTTTCACTTTATCATTTTTTAAAGAATTAAGCATTCAAAGCAATCTGACGAGCAAATAAAGGCTTTAGAAAAGACGTGATGTCATGAAGAATTTCAGTCGGAGTGCCGAAAATATTATATGTTCATAGTTTGGCCTAATCTCATATGGGATATATTTGGCATAAAATATTTTCACCGTATACAAAGTAGCATCGATAATATATCGATGAAAAAGAACAGAAGAACTTTTGGTCTTGAACATTTCCATGTTCAGATTACAACGATATCGGTTAATTAGAACAGACGAAACGGATATAAAGACAGAAGAATTATGGGAAAACTCTCAGATACATGCGCAGACGGTTATTATTAAGAACAATTGCGAGAAGATTTGATAATAGCTGCGCAGACTGGATGAAAAGTTGTCTTGGCGGCTTTACGGGCAAAGTGATTGCAAGAAGAATTAAGAACAAAATAACTGCAATAAAAATAATACCAGTATTATACATATCCATAAGTCTAGAATTCGTACATTCTTAGAATATTACTGCCACATATGGTCCGATGCTTCTGTTATTTACCTTGAGCTTTTGATAAGATCTAAAGAAGAATCACCATTATTATTAATCCAGATCTGGCGGCTCAGCTCCAGTCACTTTCCCACTGCCGTAAGGTTCACCTCTATGTGTCTTTTCTATAAATACTTTCTCACGGGTGGGGTAATGGATAACGGAATTGGAAATAAGGAACAGAGTTCCAATTCCAGTCGGTGTGTTATATTCACTTAAGTGAAAACACACTTGGGAAACCTATCAATCTATCTCTTCCATACGCCCCAGCTATGGGTTAATTAGTAAGAATTGTATCAGTAAACCAAAAAGTTCTTACACTCTAAAAATATTTTCTGGCTTTAAATAACTTCCAGGAAAGTCACTCGTTTTGCCTTCTCGGGTAGACGTTCGCAGCTGACATGAAGGGGGAAGTCTATATTGAAGCCATTGTTAGCTCAGCTGCTAAGAAAGTTAGTTGTCGTCTGTCGTGCAAGACAATTTTTCCCTCCCTTACCTACCTATAAGTCTATGATTCGTTCATGCTTAGAATATTTCTGCCACATATGGGTCAAAGAAGAATCAGCAACATTATTGGTCCTGATCTGGTGGCTCGGCTTCAGTCACTTTCCCACCGCCATAAGGTTACTTCTGTATGTCTTTTCTATAAATGCTTTCAGAGATATTGTTCGATTCGAATGATTATAATTAAGCAATAGGTCAGGGTAGTCTGGCTGTTAGGTTCTAAGAACTGAATTGCTGTAACCTCATGCATCGAAAACCTCGAATATATATATATATATATATATATATATATATATATATAAGTATAGGATTGGTGTATACGGAATAAATTCCAATAACCAACAATTACTATTCTTAAAAGAGTGCTCAATACAGAATAGAGCAGATATAATTATTTATTTAAAACTTAACATATTTATGTTATAATTTTTAAATTATAATATATATATATATATATATATATATATATATATATATATATATATATATATATATATGAAGAAAATATACGGAAAAAAACAAACAAAATCCTAATATGCAATTATGCTGTTTTAATGTTAATGTCAACGTCGGACGTTTCGGTCTAGTAGACCATCTTCAGGACATATTCATAAAACATAATTAACATTAGACTATATTCAATTCAACATGAAAAGACGATGGACATAAGAGTACGTTTCACAATATGATCACGTCGGTGTCACGTGGGCGATGTTGTGAAAACGTATTCCTAAAATGAATATATTTTGAATGAAAAATGAAAAGAATTTTATTTTAATCTAAGACTCATATGTACGTTTGTCGAGCATTAATCTTGCTAGAAAAGGGGAAATATTAAAGAAGCCGGGTCTAGCATTCACCGTGCGTGTGATAGATATTATATATTATTTTTTTCATACTGTCGGATCTATAGATCCGACAGTATGAAGAATATATATATATATATATATATATATATATATATATATATATATATATATATATATATGTATGTATGTATGTATCGGGTGTAACAACAAAATTGTCCAATTGTTTGATTAACATTTTAACCACTGTAACTTAGAAACGATTAAAGATATCTTACTGGAATTCTCCGATGTTTTATAACAAAAATCACCTCATTCTTTTTTGTATGTTTTTTTTTCATTCAGTCCACACCGGGGTTGATGAGACAGACGACCTATATCTTCGTCTGCCGAAATAGGCTATGCCACATATGAGGTGATTTTAGACTTTATTGTTTATTAATTATTTGCTCTGTAATAATAAATATATTTAGCTCTTTTCGTGGATAAGTTTGAATATTTTATATTACTAGGATCCACTTCGATTATATATCAACGGATTTGTTATCTTGACTATATATATATATATATATATATATATATATTTAACAATACATGTTTGAATAATGTACTGGTGCAGCAAAGCATTATTCAAACATGTATTGTTAAATCTAACAGACAACGAATGTCTATTATGTTTGATCAGGAGCCGTTCTAAGCTTCGTATAATGGCTTAGTGTTGGGAGAATGTAGCGACAATAACTGTCCAACATTTGGATATTTTTTATTATGCTGTTTCGTTGCAGGTTGTTTAAAGCCAGAATATATTTTTAGATTGTAAGAATTTTTTGGAGATAATAATAATTT